GCGACGAGCTGTTTGTCCCTTAACCGTGTAATTCCGCCTACCACCCTCTTTCACCACCCCTCTCGTCAACCTCTCTCTCTCTCTCTTCCTCATCGCCTCTCTAAACTCTCTACCTTCTCCCTCCCTCACGCTTCGTTTATATCGCATCCCGCCGGTTGGACCGGTTCCAATTGCGAATTGAACCGTTCGTAACTGTTGAACGTGAATTATGGCGTTTATTTATTCTCCCCTGTCCCTCGTGCCATTCCCCGTTGGCTGTCCTGTTCGCAGCCATCCATCCTACTACGCCCCCGAAATCAGTGCCTCGCGAACGATGGCCCGATCGTGTGTGTGCGCGCGTAACGACGCCGATTTCCCTTGATTATAATCGAATCGGTCAATGGAGGATCGTTTGAAAACGAATGTGCATATTACGGACCATGGATTGAAAATGATAGAAAATAAATAATTATTTTTAACGCTCGCCCATACACGTACGCTACGAGATTAGAATCGTCGACAGATACGTTCCGGATTTTCTTCCTTCCTTCAATTTCCCGTCGAACGTATCGCTTTAACTTCGTCGCTTTAACGTACGTGACGCGAAACGAAACGAAAAACGCGAAGCGATATCGACAAAAGATATGGGAGGGAAGGAAATAACAGTGGACGATGCGGTGGACACGCGTTGTAAAACGCGCACGATCCTCATCGCGCCATGCCGTCGCTATTATTCCCTCCTATCAGAGCATCGCCGGTCCACGGCTCGCAAAGTTGGCAGACGGTGTCCGAGTAGTTTGTGAATACCGCGAGAAACACTGGGACCGAGTGTGTGGAGGATCGTCGAGATACCTTCGTGCGAAACGGAGGAATGGGAGGGGCGTTTATCAACCCTCTGTCCCTGACAATCTCGCGTAGAAGACGCGGAATACAAACGCAGCATCCCTCCTCGTTCTTGTTTCTCCGATCTGTACGTGAACGAACGCACGGCGTTATAACTTAAACGCGAAGAACTCGTTTGAGTATTCGTGTATTCGGATACCAGATATTACTTTTATACACGTGATACCGCGTCAGACAAAGGCCTCGAGAATATACGAGGTTGCGAAAAGATACTGGGTTGTTGGCGGACGAAGAGGGGAGGTGGCTTCAATTTCATAGGAATGGCAGTAATTTTCCACTTCTCTCCTTCCTCCTCCCTTCCCATTTCATCCCTATCTTGGATAACTCGTCACCCTCCCCGACTTTCTTTTTTTTTCTTTTCTATTAATTTCCCGCTTCACTAAACCTCGCGGACTTTCCATCGCGGAAAGGGTTAAATAGTGAACTTTGCGAAAGAACCAAGTTTTCTTTTTTCTTTCTTTTTTTTTTTTTTTTTTTTTTTTTTTTTTTTTTTTTTTTTTTTTTTTTTTTTGCAAAGTTCCATCGCTTTGAACGTGAATCTTCTGCCTTTTCGCGTTCAGGAAATATCTTTTTATCTACGGAGAGTTGTTAAAATTCTCCAGTCCGGCCGGTCCGCTGGAATCTCATTTCTCGATTTCTCTCTCTCTCTCTCTCGAAGTTGAAGTTTGAAACGCGTTTCGAAAAAGAAGAAAAATGGAGTAGTCGCAAAATGGAGTAGCGCGTGTCACGGTGTATTATCGTTGGTATTATGAATCGGCCAACTACCGATTCATCGTGCGATGATTTGTGATGGAAATTAATTCATGGTAAAACGGCTAATAAAATTTCCTCGCGGAGATTTCACGTTTTACGTGGCGGAACCGCGACGAGAGACATGACTGATCGCGGCCGGGGGTGTCATTTTATCAATGCATAGCAAGACGGAAGGACGTTGACTAATGATATTGCCGCAGCAACTTATTTGTTATCGAAATTGCCTATTACTTACACTATTGGACAATATGTCTGCCGTCTCCTCGCTATCGGCCTCGGCCTATAGGAGGCACCAACTTCTCTCTCCAACCCGCCTCTCCTATCGATTATTGCCGGCCGATATCTGTCGTCCGTGGAAAATGATTTGGTTCCCGGTTACAATCTATAAATTGAGTTGGAATCATCGTCGTCGATCTAAGTAAAAAGAAAAGAAAAACACGAAAAATACCTCTTAATTGGATCCTTTGGCGGAGATGGAAATTTTCCACGAAACATTCGTGGTATTCGTGGAGACGAGATAATGGGTGTACGTACATCTCGACGTCGTATCTCTGGAATTCACTCCACCCTTCCTCCTGTCCCTTCGAAACCGCACAATTACGTACGCAAGACAATAATGCAAAGGAAGAAGAAAGAAAGGGAGGGAAGAAAAGAAGAGACATTGAATGGGAACGAAAGAAAAAGAAATAGTACGTTACGATTATTTTTATTTCGGCTTTGGAAAAATGCAAAATCATCGTGTCAGCATCGATTGACAAATATCGATTAATCATCGACTCGAAAATAAATATCTTTTGTTAAGGACAAATTTATAATACTCTTATCGATCGATATAATACGATATTGATAATTGGATGAATACAACGATTCACGAAAGATTGATTATCGTTACTTGAAAATTCATTTTCTTTTTTCTTTTCTTCTTTTCTATAACAAGATATGATTAGAAAACCTAGATGTTTCTTGGATCTAAAAGATAGAATCCGCGAATAATCTCTGTCTATATATGTATATATATAACGTATCGGAGATACGAATCATCTGGTGATTAATTCGATCGTTTGTTTCGCGTCACGTACACGCTTGTGCATAAATATGCTCACGGTCAAACACAAGTTCGGTTTAATTGAAAGGCGAAACGCGTGTCCCGGGCTTGGAAGATATTAATTAGCTTTCAGAGTTAATCGCGTTCTCCATGATGCTTGGCCGCGGTGGTGGAATCTATGCGTTTTCACACGCGTGGGTGTAATATCTCTGGCAGCTCGATCGATGGGGGAGGAGGAGGAGGTCGATAACCCCTGCCTCGGGTTAAATCGTCGAGGGCTACCCTCGATAATCTCTCGCGATTCCGCGTGGAAGGTGAAGGCGTGGGAGGGAGGAAACGAAATCTTGAGTTTGGACGAAATCCGATGGAATCGATCGATGTCGATGATCGACGCCCGAGAGAAATTGGAAAGTACTTTCGGTAATTATTATTGCGCGAGATACTCGTCGAACGATCTCGAAAGCGAGCGGAGAATCGCTTTGATACGTTGTCGAATACGCCGAATCATTCTCGACTCTCCTCTCGTTGAACAGTTTGAAGAACTTCCCTCCGAGCTCGAGTTTGAAATAAGTGATTTTGCCATCGCTTCACCGTACAAACGGCCGGTGATTTGTACGAATCATCCTTTGAATCAAGCTCGTTACGTTGTCCGCTTTGACATGTGTATCGCGTGTCCCTCCATGAAATCGATATACGAAACCCTCCTCCTCCTCGTTCGAATAACAGAAGAGAGCACGCGTGTCATCGTCCGCATCGAATTAAATCGTTCGTTAATTTGGCAACGAAGCAAATATTGAAAATTTCGAAGCGAGCCGGGTATAATTTTCGGGATATTCAATTTCAATTTTTCTACCACACCATCGTGTAACGATAATTATTATTCATATTCCATTGTCGTTTCACACCGTCGATTAATTATGCCTTTTACACCGATCGTCCATTTTTAACAATACTCCATGTTAAACTTCATTTAAACCTCGTTTCGGATATTTTTCCCGAAAATAATTTGCAATTATCGGATCCTCCTCTCCGTTTCGTCCTTTTTCTCGAAAATATTTTCAAGAGTCACGTTTTTTTTCTTTTTCTTTTTCTTTTTTTTTTTATCACGTTAATCGGAAGCGTTCTACCGAAAATTAGAAACGATTTTCTCCGTGATACCGTGAATATATTATATTTTTCTCACCCGTGTTCCCCCGGTTTCGGCCACAGATTTGCCCGTCAGTCCCGCGCCATCTCCGTGGAACCGCAATTAATCCATAAAATAGGTATGCGAGGCGCGAGGGACGTATGTTGAACGGCAATTTCATCGTCCAGCCTCTTCTTTGTTCGCGCCGAAACCCGGTACGCTGCGGGAGGAAACGTGTGACGCGTACATTTATTCAAAACACCATGACACATTTCGTTTTCGCGACGCGAAAACGCGATTCGCTCCTAAATCTTTATCCCGTTGTGTCCGGCCAAGATTTACGCGTGTTAAGCACAACGATTCGTTCGTTTCGAATGACGGTGTGAATAATAGAGGAGGGAAAAATGGGGCAAGGTTCATTGAAGACTTAATCTCATAAATTAGACGAGAGAGACGGTATTATTATTTTTTTTTTTTTTTTGAGATAAAGCAAAAAATTAACAAAGTT